TATGTGCACAAGCTGACCCTCCAAAAGAAGTAAAAAATCATGCCATTGTATAACTGCCAGTGTCCATGTGAAGACATTTAAAACAGAATCTCTGCCTTCTCTGCTCCCACCCAAGTGAAACTTGTAGAGGCTGGGTTCGAAAATGTGTTATAAATAACATTCAGTGGGTTAAGTAAAAATGTTTTCCCACAATCAGCTACTCCGATGATCATAACATTTCTGTATTTTCCACGACCCTTGTCTAAAGGTTCATAAACTTGCTCAGCAAAATAGCTCTCTTCAACTCCCTTTTGCTCTAACACTTCGCGTGCACAGATTAACCAATCGCTGTTACAGTTCTCGACACATTCTCTCAGTCTGGCCTCTTGTAATAGCTGTAACCTACTCTTCCTTTGCCGTTCAAGAGTTTTCTGGGCATCTTCCATTTCCCAGGCTGATTCTAAAATTTCAGCAACCACCTTAGAACCTCTGTTGATAATAAACTCTGCAATGTCAGTTTTGCCTTCTAATTTCTGTTCACTTGCAAGTGCCAGCAACTCAGTTCTCATTTTAATCCTTTTAGCAACTATGATTTCAGACAATTTGTAGGAGGACATTCGTTTTTTCTTTCTTTTCTCGCCGTTCAGATGGTGCTCATTCTTGTCAACACTCTCAATCTCAGCTTCATCGTTATCACGTAATGTGTCCTCTTCATCCAATGCTAATGATTGCTTTTTTCTTCACCTAGAGTGGTTAACAGCAGAAGCCAGAGTTGTTCTTGGTGGATGGTAATTCATTAGATCTGGATGACCAAGGCTCTGGAAAAACCCCGAATCTTCCTTTGTCACAAGATTCAGTGAAAGAGAGAGGCGAGAAATATCCGCCACTTGCAAATTGCAAATATCTCACACCAACCCTGGTGAATGAAGAAATCTGGGATTTATTGACTGGAAAGAACAGCCTTATGACTGAAGCCTTATGACTGACCATCAAATTGTCTGAATGAGTTCAAATGCTGTTCTTTTTTAGGGCATGGCCGAGCAACAACCCGTCAGACAAAGGTGAACAAGACCTTCCCAAAGGCCCAGTAGAACAACAGCTAAGGGAAATAGATTCCACC